CTCCTCATTTCTAACCTCCTCTATCCATGATGGTATTCTCATCATTTGCCTGTAACACTAAATTCCGAACGCTTCTAAATTGAATGTTAAAAATTAACATCATCATAAGGTCGCCCTAAAACTGGTTGGGCACGCACCTCCACTCTTTCCTATCCAGAGCTAATCTTCGCATTTCCCTAAAACTAGAACAAACCACACCCTTAACTATTTGCGAACAGTAATCTAATCTAGGTCTACCTCTACCTCTCCTAACTTCCTTTTCTGCCTCTAATATGTCTCTAACTAGACCTTCATGCCTGAGAAGGTGTCCTACCAACTTATCTCTTTCACTATTTCTTATTGACTTCCATAGATTCCTCTGTTCTTCTATTCTTTCAAATATCTCTTCATTTTTCATCTTCTCTATCCTCGGTATCCTCATCATTCGCCTGTAACACCACATTTCGAACGCTTCTTAACCTTTTCTTTTCCGTCGCGATCATCGTCCATGTTTCGCACCCCTACAGCGCCGCGTTCCAAACACACCTTTAGCAATCTTTTTCGAATTTCTAAATTAACCGTTCGCGTACATAGAAGTGACTAGTCCTGACTTATCTGACTTTCTAGATACCTAAAATCAGCCACTTCTTCTTCTGTTTATTCTCTCTTTCCCTACTTTTTCTTCCCTTGCATACCAGTATTTTTGTTTTGCTTTCATTTATTTTTATACAGTACTGTGTTGTCAATACCGCTTACATTAATCTAATGTTAAAAATACACTAAGAAAATTTTATAGGAAATTGCATAAGAACATATTGGGTAGGAAACATCTGATATCCATTGTATGGCAAAAAATTGTAATACTATCTGTACATCTTTTCTGTAAATTTTTTGCATTCTTTATTTATTTAAAGGTAGAGGTACAATTACAAGTATTATACATATCTTTATATAAGCACCTTTTATATAGATACTCCATGACGTTTTCCGAAAACCCTGTTTTTTATCTGTTTAATTATCCCATGACGTTTTAATTTTCATATAAAAAATCGAGTACCTATGTTAAAATAACCACATACGTAGAAAATGCAAATTAGCAAAATAAATCTGTCGTGCTTATAAATCTTAAACATCAAGCACTCATTGTTTTACCTGACCTAAGACTATGATCAGGGTGGAGCATGTGTTTTATATAACTCAATTATGTTTTAGTACAGGTTAGGTGAGTCACGAACAACTTCTATACATATACGTAAATAAACAAATAAATAATTTCCAATTACGCTTATTACACACTAGATTAGCAGTAATACACATTCAAGAGTACCTAATCATTTATTATTGGTCATATTATTTTTGTTACCAAACTGATTAAAATTCTAGTAATTAGCAGTGTTCGTTTAATTTAATAAGATAATACATTATCGCAACTTTTCACATAATATGACGAATACATTAGTAAGTAAAATGTGCAACTTGTAGTGCAATTGGTATCAGAGCAAAGGTGTTGGACGTAGGAATGATTATGTCCAATGTTTAAACTCTTACCAATACATTAAACAGAAACCTGAAATTATGAATGCGTATGTCGAACAGGTGTCATCATTTCTAATCACCATAAGTATAAATTGTTTCCCGATGAGTTTAGTTTATAATCTTGCTTGGGGCTTTCCAACAGGTATTATTATTAGTACCTACCGAAGAAGTATGACTGGGATTATTAATGCTTACTTTCACTTTTCATCTGAACAATTCATTTCAACGGCAAATATTCAGCACAGATTATATTTTTTAGAAAATATCTAGACCTCTAGACATATTGAAGTGGGTCAAGCGAAGTATAGGGAAATAGGCAGACAGGTAGCTGACGAAACGTCTGGACTTAGACCACGGCCCTATAGCCCGAATCTTCGCTCTACTATGGATTCCGGCCGTGAAAGCCTTTGTTCTTATATTAAACAGGCATTCGTTTGTGGTCTATCGTGAACTAACTTCATTAGACAATTCTTTACCCCTGTTATTTAACAAGAAATATTAAGTTCTAAAAGTCACAAACTTATCTCTTTTACTATTTCTTATTGACTTCCATAGATTCCTCTGTTCTTCTATTCTTTCAAATATCTCTTCATTTTTCATCTTCTCTATCCGCGGTATCCTCATCATTCGCCTTTAACACCACATTTCGAACAATCTTAATTACCATTTTTTAATGGTTTAATGTCTTTCGNTCATCTTCTCTATCCGCGGTATCCTCATCATTCGCCTTTAACACCACATTTCGAACAATCTTAATTACCATTTTTTAATGGTTTAATGTCTTTCGTTAAGATTATATTGACTATTATTGCTGGTATTTGTTTATTTTTTTTTTCTCAGGTAGAATTGCCGGGCACTGCCCCTTACCCGGCGCCATTATCCGGTACCCGGCCGGATCCTAAAAGAGTCGGATCCGCCGGGTGTACCGGATCCAATCCGAGCATCCGACTCATCCCTAATATAAACCTATTTATATACTTATAGGATAAACCTAATACAAACATCAGTAACGACTTCTTCTACATAAGTCTTTATTTTCGTAAAAGGGAATTCTATAATTCCATAACGCACATTATATCCTGTTTGTATCTATTCCTCCTGTTGGGCATTCCCCGTCATCATAATCGATCGCTATTATTAATTAAATTTAGCATCACCAAATGAATCATTTACATTTACTGTAGGTACTGTACAAAGCGGGCGACAGCATCCGGTATCATCGCGGATTTATCTCGATTCCACTTTTTTTTTTTTTTTCGTAATTCACTCGCCATTTATATATATACCTACCAGTTGTAATTCGCGATTCTATTTGCAGATCATCACATCCTCCTCCTTCTCCGTGATAACGTCATCGTAATCATCGTCGTCACCACTATTACTACCTACAAGGCCGCAACCGAAAAACCAAAAAGGAACGCAACAAAAAAAACAAAACCACCTTACCACCCCACCTGCCCGCTCGCTTTTTACCTACTTCGCACGCTCACAGATAAAGTTTTTCCGCATATAAATACACGTCATCGATTTCGTCGTCGTTTGCGGTTTGTTTCCGAGAGACTGGGAAGAAAAGAGACGGCAACAACATGTTCGCTATAATGCAGATCGAGAACGACGTGAGTGGACGGACTGCTGCCGCGGCGAGCGAATTTCGTCGGAAGATGCGCGCCAAGTGCGAGTTCGTATGCAGATATTGTCAGCGACGCTTCACCAAACCCTACAACCTAATGATACACGAGCGTACGCACAAAAGTCCCGACCTGACATACGCCTGCGAAGTTTGCGGCAAGAGCTTCAAGAGACAGGACAACCTCAAACAACACAGGTGGGTACCAATAATAATACATGCATTATCTATTCTATGTACATTTGCCAAAGCGAATTGACATTTTCGACAAACAAATGTCTCGAAGTTTTTTTTTTGTTTGATTTATTCTTGTTGTATTTGACGTATTTTAAACTGCCCTATCGCTAAGTTTTGACTCGGATATTTATCTAAAAGCATATTGATCTACCGCAAGACTGTTGCGGTAACTACCACATGGTTTGCGCTAATATAAGTTTACTAATTCAAGTTAGGCAAAGTTTTCGACGCAATTACCATAGAAATCACAGTAGGGTCCTCGTTAATTTACTTGTATTTCATAACTCATTCTACCTCTCTTCCCAAGAAGCGTATAATATATTTTTCTCAAAATTTACGTTTTTGTGGGAAATTTCCCTTGTTCTCCAGATAAAAATGACAATGACTCAACTAAATAGTAAATGACACCATGTGGAATCAACAGAAACACAAAAGATAAGATTGATATAGAAAATAATGTCTCGAAAACTCTAAAATAAGTTTTCGTGGATACGCATAGCATCCAACAGGTGACAATTAGAAAAAATTGAAGCCCAACTTTTTGGAAAAATTTTATTTACTGGAAAAGACAACGATGATTGCACTGGTACAAACGGAAGAGCTGTTTAGCATAGACCAAATACTATTAAGTACTTACAGAATTTCCAGTTCAAGAAAAACGCTGGAAACTTTGGGTTGTTGAGCTTTTAATGTTAACAGGAAAGGCCACATTTTCTTTGGTGATTTCTCATTTATAAAATGAAATTTTTGTTGTCATTGAGGGCTAAATCTTCGAGTGAGACCTATCGATTAAATCAGCGACATAATCCGAAGGCGAAATCAGTTTTGCGTTGCCCTTTTCTTATCTTGGTTAGCAAAAGTGATAAGTTAAACAAGTCTGGTAATTCCATATACTTTTTAAATATTTTTTGACCCTGAATTCGATTCTATTGGCTAGAGAATCCTATATCAACACTAAAAGCTGTTGCCAAAAACTCTGGATGAAGGTACTGACTCTCGTGTGACGTTCTTTAGAAAAGGGATTTCTTACGAAAATTCCCTAATTGTAACCGAGCGGCATGGCCTAGAGGTCTAGACCATTGCTTAGCATTCGGGAGGACGCGGGTTCGATTCCGGGTCCGTCTGCCTTGGTCCAAGTTTTTCTGTGGTTTCCTTGGATCACTTAGGCAAATGCTGAGGCAATAATATTCCACAGATAATCTTTCATTCTCTTCTGTCTTCATTTCGTCCGTCTCATCTTTCTCACCCGAACCACCACCCACCCATTCCCACTATTCCTGAAAGCAGGCTGAAGAGGGCCTTCCGCCCTACCTTCCGGCATAGTCCGGAGGGACTGCCCGCCCACCAGCATTACTGGCTGGTGGGAATGAAACACCCAAAAGTTTTTTTTTGTTGCAAGTTCGTATTTTGAGAAAATGAATTCTCAAGTCCAAAGCGACAGGAATACACTTATTGAAGTTATCTTCTTAACATATTTATTAACTGGAAACGAATGGGAACATACTTTCGGTACGATTTTATCAAATTTTCAAAAACTACTTAAATTAAATACCGTCTCTTGACGATAAGAATAATGAGAAGAAAATATGCCAACAAGAAATTTCTTTTTTTTTTATTGTGGATAATATTAAGCAGTTCGCGTGTGGGTGCGTGGGCCAAACATTTAATATATCGATGATTTCAACAAATTTATTTGAAATTTTAGAAGCGACCGTGTGTGGGCAGGACTTGTTAACTGAAACAAGACCACGGCGCGTCTGTCTGCTCCTTATTTTGCTTTTTCGTCGGGGAACTCTGACAAATTTATGGAAATTACTTTTATATAAATAACAGGCAGAACTAGATGTATAATTCACGAAAAGGCTAATTATGTTTTCCAAAGAGACAGGTAACATTTTTTGCACCGCATACGGCCATTTTGTTGGCATAGCGGTCGCACGAACCACCTTCAACTTCATCATCATAGGTGCACAACAAGTAACGTCATTGAAATTACATTTTTTATCATTAAAATTCAACTCTATTCAACTCGCATTATTAGCTAATTATACTCGACACAAATCGGAATTATTTAAATATTCAAATATTGAATATCGTTTACTTGGAAAAGACAGTTGAAATTTAACTATTCAAAAGTTCAAAAATACCCAAATAAATGAATATTTAAAATTTAAAACATCTGAATACTGAAGCATCTTTTCAAATGTATAAGATTGAGGTTCTATGGTTTCATACTTGGGAAATTACCTTTTATTAAATGCGTTTTTATGCAGCTCCCGTGTATGTATGTTAACGGAAATGTGTGTAATCCGTTATTGTATACAATTCCTAGGAAATGTATATAATTCCTAAAATCGCCCGGAAATATGCGAAATAAATTTTATTAGACACATTTCCTAGGAAATCTATACATTTCCTAAATAGCAATCGGAAATGTATTGCATTCAAGATTTCAATGGGTACGCGGGGTTAGCGGTATTGCGTTATCCGATCAGGCGATTTATTGTATTCACTGATAACTCCTATTCTCAGTTTACTAACGTCTTTTATTCATTTTATTCACAGAAGGCATTAGTTTTATATATTTCCTGGTACAATATCGGAATTTCATACAATTCCTAGGAAATGTATACATTTCCCAGGATATGTGTGTAACAATATTTTATACATTTCCTAAATAGCCTCGGAATTGTATACAATTCCTAGATTTCGTACCTTTCCGGTAACATGTATACCAATTTTCCATTTCCAAATTCAAATGTTTGGTTTAATATTTCGGTGTTCAGATATTTAGAGGCATTCAACTATCGCATAATTTGGATATTATTATTATCATCATCATCATTCTCGTGCACTATTGTGATTATTACAAATACCTATTTGAAAACTTAAGCATTAAGAATTCCACCCGTATACCGGAAGCAAATACACCTAGGTGCAAAATAGGTCTTAACTAGAATTCCGTACGAAGGAACTTCAATGCCTCTTATTAAAGATAATAAATTTTCTTGTACATAATTGATTNTTTCATACAATTCCTAGGAAATGTATACATTTCCCAGGATATGTGTGTAACAATATTTTATACATTTCCTAAATAGCCTCGGAATTGTATACAATACATGAAAAATTTCACCCCTATACCGGAAGCAAATACACCTAGGTGCAAAATAGGTCTTAACCAGAATTCCGTACGAAGGAACTTCAATGCCTCTTATTAAAGATAATAAATTTTCTTGTACATAATTGATTTGTAAATTTTATAAATACATTAATGTTAAGGTACATTTAATTTGGGAACAGGCAACTCCCTTCCAACGAAAACATGTATGCCACCTGAGGATTGTATACCTTGGGCGTCGAAATAAGTTTTAGGCTTGTAGACGTTTTATATGGGTTTTTAGTTAGCGTATAGTTTCACAGAACTCTATTTGATTCTCTTGTAGAATTCGGTTTTGGAATTAAAATTTCAACTTTTTATGGTCTCTTCAAAATTAATTAATAGTGTCCGACCAAGTTCGGTTTCGGTTTCGGTCGAGTTTCGGCAAAAAAACGAGTTTCGGTTTCGGCGGCGCGTTAAATTAGTAGTTTACTCTTTGTTTCTGTTGAAGTTTAGTGTCATTCAACATGACGAATTAAGTTTAGAAGAAGTTAATTTGTTCTTAATTAAGATAAAAGTGATTTATTTTGTTTTGTTTATTACTTAAATATTAAGTTCCTATACCTATTGTCACAATAGGTATAGGAACTTAATATTTAAGTAATAAACAAAACAAAATAAATCACTTTTATCTTAATTAAGAACAAATTAACTTCTCCTAAACTTAATTCGTCATGTTGAATGACACTAAACTTCAACAGAAACAAAAGGTAAACGACTAA